GTTACAAAACTTTTCTCTTGCACCCACGTCACTACTTACCCCCTGGACCCCATTCCCCCACCACTACTTCGGTCATCCTCTTGCTCTATACTACACTCTCTTGGAGCTTGGAGCTATATAAATCCTGACTAATAATAATAATACCAGACCCTTTAGGGCAACCCATACTGGGTTTTTATTTTTTTTTAGTTTAACAACGTTATTTCATAATGACATTTTGGCAAAATTCAGATGCATCCGAGTTTATGTTATCAAAATTCGTATACGCTTGAATTCCTTATTTGTTTCATTCGAACACATCCCAATGTCCGAACATGACGATTTTCCTCCAAATGTCAGTTTGGACGAGAACGAATGCATATGTCTAAAAATCACAAAGCCAGTTACTTCCTCAGGCACTTCCTGTTATAGGGTGACAAAGTTCTGTCCCTGTATACCAGTTAAGCTTTTGATTTGTCACCCTATCGCACAGGCTTCCTTTGAAAATTGCCAAAATTGCCTGTTTCAACACATTACACAGGCATGGTCCACCTAAGCTATCAGGAAACCCACCCAATAAATGCCATTTCTACTTATATCCACACTAAGGGCACGTTCACACCACCAGCTATAAACTGTATTTCTCAACACAATCAAAATGCAAGGTCACGCAAACACCACTGTTTTCAATGCCAGTTCACACCAATGTCCTGCGCTGGTGTGTGCCTAAAAAAAAGGGAGAGGGACAAACTATACCAATCAAACTGTGCATGTAGGTCAGTGTGTAAGTTAGAGGTATTTGTAGAAGGTTGATTTACTTACGGCTGTTCACTTTGCAAGGGAATTTTTCATTAGCTGATTGAATGTGATGAAAATTTACTTTGCAAAAAGTACACATGTGTCAGGGGAAAAAAACCCTGTATTTTTGCTTGCACAAGATTGGATGATGGAAGCCAGCAGGGATTCACCTCATTCACTAAGCTAAGGGAAAAATAATTTGCTAAGTGAACAGCTTATTTCCCTTTAGGTATCTACACAGATTTGTGTCATGTGCAAACACACATTCTAACAACCAAAAAACTGCAAGAAAGTGAGCACGACAAAATCAGGTATAGGTTCATTTTTATTTTATAGTAATATGTTATAGACACCTTAAATTGGGATGCTAGAATGCTATGTTAGTTAGCTGTTCTAACTACTAGCAATTGATGTGCAAATACTCATGCACCAAGCCAAGAGTATAATTACTGTGCACAGTCAAATGTAACCTGTTGCTCTGTGTGTTCTCTTGCTTTCCTCTCCATTACTCATGCCTGAATGTCAAACTTGCACTGAAATATAAAAAAGAACAGGTCCCCAAACTCTGGACCCTCCATTTATTAAAAGAGTATCTCAAAAGGATCCTCAATCATCCTGTGAGCATAGCATAATGTATAATTTATGATACTTTTTTTGTGGCTTAGGCTTCTTTATGTGAAAGGGCACATCCATAGGGTTATTCACTGAAGAGTCGAAGGATCCAGCCGTAGCTTCGGCTGATCCTTCGGCTCGCTTCTCCCACCTCTGTCCTTCGGCTCAGTCCAAACCAAAGGGCTACTGTACGGGCTATTCACAATAGTTTATACAGCAGCCAAAGGCAGCCGAGTGGCTCGGCTGATCCGAATGCATATGCTTCGGCTCGGCTGAGCCATAGTGACACACGAAGCGTGGAGAAAGGTCGGCTGAAGCCAACCGGTCTCCACGCAAATGACAGCTGGGCGGAGCCAGCCGAACCGACCTTCGCTGACCGAACGCAGCCGATGTACAGCTGAAATCAGCCGTACAAGATTGGACTGAATAGCCGAACAGCGTTCGGCTCACTTCACTTCAGCTGGGTTATTCACTCGGCTGCCTTCGGTAGCTTTGTGAATAACCTTCTTAACCTCCGTGGCGGTATTCCCGAGTCTGGCTCGGGGTTAATTTTCAATACCAGGAGTGGTAACCCCGAGCCAGACTCGGGAATGCACAAAGTGTCACTTACCTTGTACCTGCGAGCCCGCGGCGTCCACTCACAGTCCAAAGACCTCATCCACAACAAACAGAAATGTGAAATAATGCTCAGTTCAGTCAAGTTATGGTCTATCTTCAGGAATATCAGGTTTATTATTTCTTCGTACGTAATAAACTATTATTATTAACAAAAATTTCAACAAAGACTGTAGAGCCAGTTTTTCATTTCTAGCAACACAGAAACACCTGATGGTTTGTTCAAAAAGTTGCATTCCATAAAAAAGCTGAACTTTGTAGAAGACCTCATTCATACCATGTACAATGACTGGCATTTTGTGCAACCGATCAACACTAGTCACCCCAAGGGTACATAGAAACAATTGTTCTCTATGTGCCCCGTTTACACCACAACTGAGTGAGCATAAATGGGCTGCTTTAATGAAATGCATGTTAAAACGCAATGCGATTTGTTTCGAATCTGCAAATACATTAGTGTGTATAATAAGAAAACAGGTTCACTTTAAGGAGCAGAACTTTTAAGCTGTGCTTATTGTCATTTTGAATTTTTTATCTAGACTGTCTCTACACCATTACTTGCTGTCTGGTTAAGGCAATTTAGGAGAGGGTGAAATGTTTATTTCTTTTGTCAAGTAAGAGGCATGATAGTAGGTGAAAGGTAACAATGTTACAGACCTGCTTAATCCCCTGAGGATGTCGTAACGACGGAACGCATAGGGGCGGGCCTATTCTACGTCATACCAAATACGGAAGTTCGTTGGTACACCATCTAACCGGCCGGCAGAGACTTTGTAACCTCTTTATTGGATTTCAATAAATATCTTTGGAAATACAACACAATGAGGAGTTCTTTCTTTACATGAGTTTGGAGACACGTCACGCTTTGGATATCGATCAGAACAAGACACAGTGAGGACGCTGCAGCTCCGTGAGATACTACACAAGTGCTTTTTGGCTGCTTGTCACAGTCATCAAAGTACTGTGAGTGCGCACTTTGAGGGGAGACTTTTGGCACTTGCTCAAATCCCCAACAAACTTTCACAGAACCCCCGTGATCCGGAGCTTCACATCAGCGCACACACTGGAGGATTTTTTTGCACAAAGATTGTCATATTATCACATGGACTATTCACGGTGTTTCATTATTATTAAGCAAAGAGATATTGGGATTATGGATGCATAATTAAGTTGTGTATTTTTCACTTATCTACCAATAGAGGTTTATTAACCTATATTCACATTTATATTGATTACGATTTACATCTGTTACGATTATATGTTTGACACATGTTGTTTGGGCACGAGATGGCCCTGAATTATAGAGTGGCCTAGACATATTGAGGTTGATCCTTTATTCATTTGTTCACAACCAATCACGGTTGGGTAATTAGTAGTTAAAATATTAGACACATACACGGATTTAGGCCATCACAAAGTTAATTTTATTTCACATACTTTTTGCTTATATGATTAGCGCTGCACACCTGGTAAAATCAATTACAGAATACTGCATTAGCAGCCAATGATATTTATTTTGGCTTAATGTAGTAGTAAAGGGACCAATAACCAAATAGTTTAGTTGGGGGTTATAATTATATTTATATATATATACTGTACCAAGAGGAGTTTCAGGAGATATTCAGTAACTAAGAGCTGTGTTCATAGCATCCTTCACGAGAAGAATAAACAATTATGTAATCGTTATTTATAACCTAGTCAGAAATTGGATTGTCACAGCCTTGTAACACCACTGGAATGCTCAGTTAAAACTTATCTATGGGCAAAACAAATTCAGCCTAGACGGAGAAGATATATTACCTATTTTATCTAATGTCCTCTCATCCAATATTATGCACACAGCATTATTCATTATTCACCTAGGTAGGCCTGCTGGCACCACCCAGCTCGGCAAACTTTGATTGAAAAATCAAGGCAGCTAGGATGGGGCAATTAAGCAGTATTCTGTTGTGAGGCCCGCAAGCTGAACAAGAAAAAACTATACATGTAGGGATAACTTTAGTCTTTCAAGCACCTTCTTCACTTAGTATTACATTAGGGAAGAGCAAGCTGATAAAAAAAATAGACAGCATATTCATGTGTGTCATTATGCTGATAGAGGGGATCACTGCTCTTTTGTCAACTTTGACTTACTATCAGTGCAGGTAAGGGCAGACAGAGAGTTAGAGTGATTGTTAAACCAGCACTGTCAATGTGCTGGCATGTACACTGTATATGATGTACATCTGACCTGCAGGCAAAGGGCTATTAGAATATCAGAGCTATTCACAAAAGGGTAAAGTGTTTGGAGAAGTGAACAATCTTGGACAACATAGCTAAAGTGTAAAGTGAGCTAAATTGGAGAATTTTTCCAAATCAGCTATTTTGGCCTAGATTGTTCACTTCTCCTGCCTTCTCCAAACTATTCTCCCTTTTTTGAATAGCCCTATATCTATTACTGTAGTCATACCCAACAAATCCCCATTTCCCACTGTCACTGGTGTAAGAATTTTTTAGAACACTTTAATAACATCACAAGATAGAAGAAGCATCATATCTTAGTGCAGAAAACTGTAAATGTAAAGATTCTTTGGTGCTAGCCTCTGCAGAAAGAGAGGAAGAGGGAGTGTTAGGGATAGCATTTCTTTATGCCTGCAGATCAGCTATAAAAACAGTACGTAAAAACTATGTAGCTGATCTCCAGGCACAAAGCAGATAAATCTCCATGTGTGTGTTTTAAAGTGCACAATTGTACAGTCTCAAACATGATAATAGCAAGGCAATGCCATCATCCACTTTTTTTTCATATTATCACCTATACATCTACCTGGTGGATAAGAAAATAATAAATTATATGTTTCCATGTTAATTACTATTTTAGTGTTGACTTCTCTTTCGCCCCTTTTTCATTACATAGTAATAATCAGTTTTGTGCTTGAGCATATCAAGATAAAAAGGACATGAGAATGAAACAATGATCAAGTATCTTCAAAATGTTAATACAATTCTTGTACTAACCTATAACACTAGATGTTCCTGTGTTTGGTTGGGGAGGTAATATCACTGTCGGCTTTTTTGTTCTGTCGATGCTTGGAGCAAATGCTATAACAAATTGTACAATTAAAATATACATTAGTTTCTTGCAGTTTTTTTGACTCATTACCATGACTACCTATTTCTAGACAAGACAAACTTATGTAGAATATTTCAAATACAATAACATATAAAAAGTTTTTTCAGGTAAATTACATTTGTGAACTTCTATTGGTACTCAGGTTTCATTGCAGCTGTACAAAATTTTGAAAGCAATTTAAGTGTGATCTCCTGCAGCAAGATTCCAGTGTTCATCATATATATTATTTGTGCCTCACTGGAATTCACAGTTAAAATGATAGGCAGACACTACTGTTTTCTTGATAAATAGGTTCTCTCAAACCTTTGAAACGTCACACCTGCTCTGTGACCCATAAAAAGCACTAATTGAACATTAATGGAGTGATGGTGAGGTCTGCCTATTAGTTATAATTAAACCCAAGCTCTGGGCGACCTATCATGCAAATGTAACAGGCAAATGAACATTGGATCTTAATTCAAATAGTGCCTACAGATAAAGGTGATACACTTGAACAAATACTGCATAAAATTGGCATGGTGTATTCATTCTCATAATCTACATTAACATAAATGCAGATTTGCCACATAGAAAAAGTAAGTATAACCAAAGCCCCTTGTTTGGAGGGACTGTCCCTCTTGTGGAACCAACTCCCTCTGTCTTCCTCAGTTGGCCCTCTTTTTGGTCTGATATATAGATCTTTATAAAAACCATATGATTTATTTATCAAAAGTGTTTTACTGCACTAAACCTTTAAATTATTAATTTTTTTATTTTTAGAAACTAAAATAAAGGAAAAGTAGTGATAAAAAAAAGTAATTATTTGGTTAACTCAGTAATTTGTTTGCACTAATCTTCATGGTCTGCCTAATGGGCAGTGTAGCAGGGGTGTGTCATTTGTCTACAAATTTCATGCTGTAATGTGTTCCTCTTTCCCATCTCAGAAAGTTGGGAGGTATAAGTACCCCTACTTTAAAAGCAATTTAAATCCATAAATGTCAAATGTTCTAAAATTATGTGCCAAAGATTAAAACCTCCTCAGGGAGTATGCTGGTGTATCCAGTTTTATTTAATTCTCAGGTATGGCTGGTATTCTCTTTGCTATTGGCATGTGTGGTGCCACCTTACCAATATTAAAAGAGCTCTCTAAGGTCCTCACAAAAAAGGTTGTGGATGCTTACAAGTCTAGCAAGAGATCTAGAAGATCTACAGGTGGCATAGATTTTAAATGACTGCTCATTTGTCTAGGACTGGCTAGCCCAGCAAATGCAACCCGATAGCTGACCATTTGATACTAAAAGAAGTCTCTATGAAAAGTATTTCAAAGGATTTAGCATGGTTGACTGGAAATTCTTGTTGAAATTCATGGCTGTAAGGGGGTAGGATGTTGGGTGATGTTTCTGGTCTAGAAGTAAACTGGGAAAAATATGTTGTCCTTCTGATTGGTCTGGCTTCCTCTTATCCTTTTTTTGATAACTTGCTCTTGTAGAGGGCTCTAACTAGTAAGGCATTAATGCTCAAAATACTATATCTATTTTTACATCTTCAAATGTATCTCCTATTTCACAGCAAATGGAAGCTAAGTTGAAGGCCTGATTTACCTTGCCCCAAAACCTCATTGGCATAAATAATCTGTTCAAATGATTTAACTCCCTAAGATTCTCTATACATTTTGATCTGCCCCTGCATTTCTACAGAAACCTCTTTCCAACAAATTAATTCAGCAAATTCTTCTTTCATATGGAATAACTCTGCCCCTAGAATGTCTAGGACTGCATTACAAGCCTGTTTTGGAGGAGGAGCCTTGCCAAATCCGTTATAAAAAATTCTGGCTTCCAAAGCTGACTTTCATTCATAAATAGTTGACTTCCTCTGCAGATCATGCACCTACAGACAGGGCTGCAGCCTCCATTAGTTCTCCGCAAAAACTTAGGATTCTGATCCACAAGACTACGCATGTTTCTTTATCCTACTTCCCTCCAATTGATTCTTCAGTGTTGGCCTGGTGCAGGGCTAAGGAGGAACTGAAATATTGCTGGAATGTCTACTCACTGAGGTGTCTATGGTTTAATGCAACCCTACGAAAGTTTATGGTCATCCTGATATGGTTTGGTGGGCCAAACCATACAGAGCCAAATCTCTCTGTTATTGTCTGATTGGGTCTTTGTTGAATTTTGGACTCTTAGATCTGCCCACAATCTCCCCGACACCATGCTTTATAAATACCTACTTCTTCGTTATGCTATCCATTCCCAGTTTGATTTACTAAAGGTAATGCTAAAGTCTACTCCTTTGGAAACCCTTCTATGCAGTTTCTCCATGACAAAGGGTGGTTACCAATATCAATGATCTACTTAAAACATCTACCCCTTCTCCTTATGTTAGCTCATATGAGAAATGGAAAATTCCTATACCTACCATGGAGGCTGACTGCTTGGAGGAGGTTTCTCGTACATGGTTCAAAGACTTTATTAGTACGGCTGACAAACTTATACAATTTAAGTTTATTTATTCATGGCGGGTGATTTACCAACCTAAACACACACACGCACCAGGTGCGTATCCATTTTTACACAGCAAAACGCATTTATCAACCAAACACGAGCAACGTGTCACATTTTCACGCCGTTATGGCGCGTGTTTATGTATTTACGTACGTGCGCGTCATGTAGCATGCACCATAGGCTACATGCCGCTCTAATAGCGGCATGCAAATCTCTAAAAGCATATTTCCACTAATGCCATATATGGAAAAATCATGCACATGATGCATATATAATGCTGCTTCACGGTTTAGACAAAAATGGTTAGCTCATGCATTTACATTCCTGCATTCATCAACGCAAGCAACACAACGTAGAGCTAATTTACACAACATCCCCTTGCAATTCATGCAGGGCTTTGCACAACACACCTGCTGGGTGTGTACACACTACAAAGGTGTCTAGATTCCACCAATAGATCATGCTGGGAGGGAACACACTACAGAGGTGTATACTTGTTCGTGTGTGTTTATAAGGTTAATAAATCAACGCCATGGTCTCTTTTACACTCCCCAGGCTTAAAAGTATGGGCCTGCTGTCTTTGATGTGCATTTGACCCGGCTGACTTGTTTGGCCTTTTTATGGTGCTGTTCACACTTTTGGAGATATTGGTCCCTTGTCTATGACCTATTACAGAGTAAACTGGGTATTTCTCTTCCTGTCATCCTGTCAGTGATGTTATTGGGTATTGTGGAACCATTTACATCCCGTTGTGTGGTGATATCTCTATTCCCATTAATGTGTTTCTGTGCTCGCAAGGCTACTCTATTGCATTGGGAAAAATGACAACCTCCTACTACTGAGATATTTATCCCAGGAAATTCACCAAGGTATGGGTTTCTTGGCTGGGAGTACCAACTCTGGTTGCATAAACATTGTGGTTGTCTATTGACTTCCTGAACTACATTTCTCTGGAGCCGGGGTGATTGTGTGTTGGTGTATGGATTTGTGGCATGAATGGGTTTTGTTTCTTGTTGTTCACAATCTGCATGTTGCTTTTGTTGGGGCTTTGGGTACCCCCATTTTCTATTTGTATTGTAAATTGTATTCTTTAAAGATGTTAAATAAACACATTTAAAAAAACTATAATTCTGCATTTTAATAGTGTGCTTCATGAGAATGTGGAGCCATATGTCCTGAAGTTGAACTGGAAATGAAACTTTGAATGTGATAATGATCCTGATTTTAATGCCATTCAAATGTTGTAGGGGGGGATTGATAAGGGCAGTCCATATGAGGAAACCTAGGAGTACATAGGCATGCAGACTGCTTCTACAAACATTTGTGAAACAATGGGTCACTCTCAGGAGCTCAGTGAATTCAAGCGTGGTACCGTGATAGGTTGCCACCTGTGCAATAAGTCCATCCTTGAAATTTCCTTGCTACTAAATATTCCACGGTCAAAATGTATACCCAGTCAATATGAGAGACTGGTGGGCAGTTATGCAAAATGCTTAAGAACATAATTTCTGCTGAAGTGGGTGATATCAGCTTCTGGAACAAGTGTGCATTTTCTTTATTCACAGTACAAACAAGATATGTGTTGATTTGTGATGTGCTGACACCACATCCCTCACATACCATAGGATGCAAGTTTCCAAAAAGGAAAACATTTTATTATGACTTTAGAGGTCTCACAACCACATTCTGGTAAAAGACAATTTTGACACTTTACAACAGTATTATTAAAAAACAATTAAAATATAATAATACATTTTTTTCATTCTCGGTTACCTATCTTTCATATTTGTGTCATCCTGACCTCATCAATCTCTAAACCGTGCAGGTCTTTTGATCATTAACAAAGGTGTTTTGTGTGTTCAATTGGCTGTATTACAATAAAGCACAATTAAGTGCATTTTGTGACGCGCTTTGTCTGTTTGAGTCTAATGCTGATTCAAACACTCACCTGAGCTACTAAAGCTGTATGCTAGGGTCTAAGCACTCCCCAGAGCTACTAAAACTTTATACCAGAGTCTACATTCCCCTAATCTACAGAGGCTACTCACCACAGCTATGCATTCCCAGACTGCAATGCACTTGTGCTGCTTCCAGTACAGAGTTCCAGTACTCTGTTTGTACTGGCAAGGATTGAGACCCGTGGGAGACTCCTGTGATTAAAGGAGAACTATGAGATGAGTGATTTCCACTCACCTCATAGTTCTAAGCCGACCTGTGACAATGAGACTGTCACAGGTCGGCTCAGTAGATCGGGAGGTGAGGGAACACATACCGGGTTCCCTCACCTCTCGATCCTGTCACGGCTCTCTGCCGTGGCAGGGGGAGGGGCTGGATTCCCCTCTCTCCGCTCCGATCTGCCAGCGCTGACTGGCGGAACGGACGGGGGAGGGGGCGGGTACAGCTGGCTCTGCCTCTAGATAGGCAGAGCCAGCTGTCACTCATGCAGCTGGGCGGATCCCGTTATCTACGTCTGGATCCGCTCCAGGTGCGGCGTCTCAGTATACTGCGAGCTGTAGCTCGCGGTATACTGAGCTTAGGGTAACGGGAGGACGCTAGTTTGTGTCCTCCCGTTACCCTAAGGAGAACTATGGGGAAAAACACTGACCCCATAGTTCTCCTTTAAGTTAAGGCAGAGATTTTTCTGCTCACACATGTGTTTTAAAACATTAACACATTCTCTCGAGTTTCGACGACACCAATATGTCTTTTCTTGTATTGTCTGAGTGTTCTTTCATATAAGTACTTATAAAAAGTTTGAATAATAGAAATAAAATAAACATACGGCCTCTTGGTTGCTTATGAATTCTAGGCTCATCTTGACTCGAGGATGACTGGACTCCTGGAAACTGTGGAAACCACAAAAATTAACATATCATTAGTATGAGAATTCAGTTTACTTTTACAACAGATACCGGTAATTTACGTCATTATTATAACATTCATGCTGTCTAATAAGAAAAAAAGGTCATTCCCATGGCTTGGTTTTTTTTTGGCTTGCTTTTTTAAATGCCATAGAAAATGGAAAAAGATACACACGGATAAAATAAATATATATATATA